TATTTTGGTTCCCATGGCTTCTTTTGATTCATAAATATAAGCAACAAAGTTTCACAATGGCCGCTATTTGAAGAAGAAGAGGATCCGTTGTATAATGGTGTGCTCCCAAAATCAATGGCGATCTCTCTTCTCTATCCTAAAATATTTCAACTGCGTCTCCAATGTCTAACAAAACCCAGTGAAAGAATGATGCAGCCACGGCATTAATTTCCCACACAAGCTGTGTCTCTGCCGTAAAAAAGACGAAGAAGAGAGAGAGGATAAGGAAATGAGAAAAAGGGCATGGAGGTAATTTGTCAAAATTTACAAATTCCGATTTAATACCTGTAGGCTTATTTGTCTTTTGTGAAGTTAGAGTGACTTATTTAGGATTTTAGAATTCAATAGGTATTTATATGGGATTTTCCCTTAAAAAAATAAGATTAACATAATGATTTGCGATTTGCTCTGATCAAGATCGGTTTCGATACATATATCATTTTTTTATTTTTTGGTGAATAAAGAAAAGAGCAAAAGTCCAAGGGGGCGGTTAAGGTTGGGGTCGAGCTGGAAAGCAAGAAAAGGATTATTTAAAAATCACAGTAAGCATGGAAAGTCGGCTGAAAAAGAAGGGATGATGGACCCTTCAGCACGTAAAACGCCATTTGGTACACCGGCTCGTCGACAAATCAGGTTGTTAAAATGTCAAGTCTCTCTGAAAATATGGAAGCAGATGAATACTGTAATATATAGAAACTTTAACAAGAAAATGATGCTGACATAATTTTGAGCAACTGAAACATCGAAATTCTTTCAGGAAATAGTGAGTAATTCACCCAGTACCGCCAGATTTGAGAGGCTGCTTCTGCCAACAAAAGAGACCAAACCCTTGATGTGCTGCATGCCTCACTATGGAAAATGAATTAAAGAATATTGACTCACATGCACAAACCAGAGACAGAAAGATGCATGCAAAATAGTGCAATAAATTAAAACTGAGAGTCTCAAGCTGCTTCAACTGTTGGTCACAGACCTTTTAAGTCTTTTAAGTGTATAAACTTCATCAAGGCCATCATTCATTCAGTTTGTATATCACCTTATATATTCTACTGTTCCATTTGCACCAAATAAAATACTACCTCCTATTCTTAATGTAAAAGCTAATTAACTAATTTGAGTAGATTAAAAAAATTAATTAAGTTAGTTATATTTAATAAATATGCGTTATCTTCTCTAAAATATCCTTGTTAATAATATATATTTACTAGAACTACTATTTGATAGAATTTTTAATATATACAACTATTATAGTAACTACTTTTAAAAAAATAGATAAATTTGAGAGATAAAATGAATTGATTTTTTATATTTATGACCAAATTAAAAATCAAACTAACTCTTATACTAAGAACCAGATATAGTTAAAAAAAAAAAAAAAAAGCCAAGATGTATAGTGAGAGATCCCAAGTTATTTAAGATAGACTAATTTTGCCATCATTTTCCACTTCCAGCCTTGCGCTGGATGAAATAAAGCTTTTGTGTACGACCATAAACCCCACGCCTTGTAATTCTTTGGAAAAAATGGGAACTCACATGGCAGTGGGCAGAGGTCCACAAATAATAAAGAATGTATTATTAAACTTCGTCATCATACAATCTCGATTGATCATATTCTCAGCTACAACTAATCTGGAGGTCTACCAAGTAAACAGTTGATATTTAGTAGCTGAGTTCAAATGTTGGTTAAAAAAGAGAAGAAATCGTACATCCAATCCAGGGTATTATCTGAACTTTTTCAAAAGGCCATTTATTGAACTTCAATTTTTTCATCTTCAACCACAAAATAATACGATAAATAGTAATATTTTTCCTCTTCTGTCACTTTCTCTTTATTTTTGGGGGGGGGGGGGACACAATCTTGTGGGAAAGTTTGTTAAAATCAATTCCTTCAGTGACAATGATTGAACCTGGGAGTATGAACAATGGAACTCGGGGTAGAAGGGTGACCAGAGAAGGAACAACGTTAAGGGAAAAATTGAATGCAATGATATGCACACAGAAAAATAATGCATACAAGTAGCATATGTTCTGAGAAATAACATTCTGCTTGGAAATCAACAGTAGAAGAAAGGAAGATGCAACCTTCAATATGTAAAATGCTCTCTCCATTCTATATTTGCAACAATATAATGATTCCATGCATCAAGTTACGGATTTGTCTGCTAGATGAGAGCCCACTGGCCAAGTCTCACTGAAAATTTGGAAGCAGAGATTTTTCAGCTCCAAAGTCAGGCACAAAATGCAGTACAGAAATATTATAGCCTACACAAACTTTAAGAAAATGATGGTAATGTAATCTCACTTGGTTTTAATACCCAACCCCATTTTCTTGATCTCGAGCGCGTTCAAGACTGTAAATCCTTTGCAATTGCTTCATTCCTTCTCGCTGTTTTGGCAAGGTAGTGAGTGCAGGAAGAAGTATTAGAACTCCTGAGACGACGTCCTTTCTGACACTCTTAATTCATTTTCATCTGCTTTCTGTACTCCTCCTTAGTGGCCAACAATAAATGAATAGAATTTTTCATGTCACGCTTGAAACTCAGTTGCGAAGAGCTTATGTTGGACGTTTAATAGAGAACAAACGAGGTTCTGGTTCAAATAAACCAGGTCAGGAAATGATACAGTGACAACGGGAGTTGGCAGACAATGGAAAGGCACTCATAAAATCAAATAAAAAAAATGATGAGAACTAATAAGTTCTACCCGCACACGGATACACACATGTATAAATCGTAAAATTTGGTTGAAAGACTCCACTTTTTTGACAGCTTTTGCCACGCGGTGCAGCTGAATCGTACAAAGCAATTTTTTCCTTCCTTTCGCCGGTTATGTTCCCATACCCACTCTGGGTAATCTAATCGAGAGAAAAAAATTCAAACCATGATTAATGAAATGGCTAAAATAATCATATCTTATTGATACTATCAGACTTCAATAATTTTGAGTTCAGCAGCAAATTTGATGATTGTCACTTGAACCACAGAGGCCGAAGATGCAGAAGTTCAGAAGGATGTGATCTTAAGATAGTGGGCTTATTTCCTTCGTCAGCAACATATAAAAATCATACGATTTTGCCCATTTGTATGTAAATCTTACAGACAGAGAGATGGGAAGGAAAAATAACATGCTCAAACCGGCTGATGAATGAAATATGTTAGGGGCAAAAGCCGCTGAGAGCGGTTAACAAGAGAGTAATTAACATCTTTGAATGTGTTTTTCTACCTACATCTGATTCCATAAATTCTTTTAACACGGGGAGGGAAAAAAAAATTCAACCAAAAATAATAAATTTTTGGTTACTTCTCATTAGACTGATACATTAAAAACAATCTAGAACACAAAATATTAGACTGGGCTCCCGTGAAACTAATTTGCCATGACTTCTAGTCCCTTGCTGCCAGTCCTAGTCTAGATAAGGCAAAAATGTCAGGAGTAGTCCTGTATACAAAGTAAATATGCTAGCTCAAAAACTCTATCCGGCTTGACTCTTTATCTGATTTACTTTAAAATGCCAAGCCGTAGAAGCTTGATTTAAAATTATTCCCCACATGACAGTGTATTGTCATAAAAAATAAACCTCATACAATTATCAGGAAAAGAAACCAACGTTGGGCCACGACTTAAAATGCAATGGCATAAACCCAGAATAATAACACGCACAAGCAACATGATTTCTAGAATGTTACATAAAAATGGAAGACCGCAGGAAAAGAAAAGGAAGACGCAAATTTCAATGTTTTGAAACAATAACTCATTAAGGACGTCACAGATAGCGAAAGATCAGACCAAACTTAATTTCCAACTTGGTACAGTGAAATTTTCGGGCACCAACAGAAAGCAGCAAGGAACAGCAATTTCATGCTTAAACTCTAAAATTTGTCATCAAGAGACACAACCTCCATTCTGTTGAGTAACTCAGCTCCACCCGACGAGGCCTGGAATCTGACTCCGTCTTAAACAAAAATCTGAACATGTAGAAGCAGAGACTCCTCAGTTTCAAAATGAAACGCAAAATACAGTAGTAAAATGTTGTAATATATTCGAATTTCAAAAACAAAATGAAGATGATGCAATCTCATGTGGGGTTTTTAGCTCGCATTCTTGTTGTGTTCATCTCAAGCACTTCAAAAGACTAAATGTTCTTTCAAAACTCAGTGTTGTCAATTTGTTAGAAAAATACATTAGTAGCCAGCGACATGGCTCCCACTCACTGTTCAACAAGATTAATCTTACCACATGGATCTAAATAAAATCAAAACCAATCAAATTATAATATAGATGGATGCAAAATTACAATGAAGAGCATAGTAATTTTTTACATTGATAATAAATAAATTATAATCCATCATTGTATTTTTTCTAAAAAATCATTTATTTTTGTATTTTATTGCAACTCGTGTAATTTAGTCCATATCCATATCAATGGTAATCACTCTTCTGGTCCTATTTATAAGACACTTTTAACATATTTCATACAAACTAAGAAAAACCTTAAAATGCATTAACCCTCTATTAAAACATAACTTTTCAAATTTACCCTTATTTAATATATACTCTTTTCAAAAAAGATAATTATCTATATTATAATAAATGAAAGACAAAATAGTACATTTACGCTAAAAATTTAATGAAGTAACTTATAAATACGACTAAAAATTTTTTCCCTCTTAGCCCTATAAATAGGATCAGAGGAGTAACAGATTATGAGCATGAGGACTAATTCCTATAATTAAAGAAATTGTAAGGAGCTAATAAAAAAAATATCAGAATTAGATTTTTAATCAGGTAAAATAAAAATACAAGAATCTAAAATTAATTTTTTCTTTGAAAAAAAAGGCTAGAAATAAAAACCCCATGATCCAAGCAATGCGACAAATTGTATATATGCAAATTAGAGCAGATACCTTAACGTGCGAAACGAAATAAGACAAACAACATTGACGTCGACCAAAATACGCATCTTAATCTCCTATAGAAAGATATGGAACACGAGCAATTTTGTGCCAATCCTCCCCTGTTTTCTCGTTGCATCTCTTCCCTAACTCCGGACAACCGTAAATGGACAAAGATTTCAAATTTGCAAGGCTCTGAATACTCGTTGGAAGTGACATCAACTTGGGGCATTCGTATATATCCAATGACTTAAGCAACCCAAGGTTCCCCAACCAGTCAGGCAAGGAGGCTAGATTTGGGAGATCACGCAATTGCAACGATCGAAGGGTCATAATATGCTGTAAATCATCAGGGATATCTTCCAGCCTTGCGCATCCGGCAATAGTTAGAAGTTCAAGGGCTATGAAGTGTCCGAAACCTGCAGACAGTTTGAACTTAGGACACCCCCAAATACGGAATATTTTAAGAGAACACCACCCTTGCAACACTTCCTCTGTTATTGTCTCAAGGTTCTCGCAATAACTAATGTGCAATTGTTCGAGAGCCTTCGAGTTGGCGAGTCCAGTTGGGAGAACTTCAAGTTTGGGAAAACAGAAAAGTCGGAGTTCTTTGAGGTGCTGAAGGCCCTCTAACATCTTTTCTGGAGGGGGAGTCAACCCTACATATCCATTCAAAAGAAGGCGTTCAAGATTGGGCAGATTTTGAATTGAACCAACACACACCTTGCTACATCCCCTTGCAACTTGTAGTTGAGTGACGGATGGAAGGAAAGGCAAGTTTAGTTGCGGACAATTAGTGACGTCCAACGTTGAGAGACGTGGGAACATGTTGTCTCCATCCTCCCTTGACAACTTTACGAGGCTTAGTAGCTCTGACAGCTGTAGCTTTTCCAGAACTTGGAAACCTCTGTCAACCCCATAAACATAAGGTTCCTCATCTATATATTGCACGTGATTCATGTCCGTCAAGCTCAAACGCTTCAAAGTCGGAAGTTTTGCTAGGCATGAAATGCACACAAGACTTTTACAACCCACGAGCTGTAGGGAAATTAAATGCTTGAGCGTGGGATTGATCATCCATTGTGGGAGTTGGGTACCAAGATATCCTTTTACAATCAAACTTTTAAGTTGCGCGTGAGGTTGAAGAACTTCAAGAATTTTCTCCTCATTTTCTTGTAATTGGGATTGCTCATTCCTTTCCCAAGACAACTCCAGCTTGTTGAGGCGCTTATCAGCCAACCTGGCCTTTCTGGCATCCGTCTCACTTGTTACTCTCTCCAAGCGCTTGATGGAGAGTGTTCCTTCAAGGTTCAAATTCTCTACTTCTTCCAATAAGAACCCTTCCTGCACATCGACAACATATGCACTTAAGGTTTTCAAGCAAGTTAGTTGACGCATCCCAGGGGCCATTCTAGATAATGACAAACACCCTTCCAAATGTAGATGACGGAGAGATTTTAAGCACTTCAACTTATTAGGCAACATTTTGAGAGAATCACACATGTTCAAATTCAAAATTAGCAAGTTCCACAATCTACATATCGAATCAGGAAGTATTGTAAACCGACCATGAGAAAGGTTCAAGTACCTCAGATGTTTTAATTGGTCAATGGAAGATGACACCTCATTTGAAAACTTGAGGTCAAACGCTCGCAAATGATAACATTTCAGCAATCCATCACAACAAGTGTCGACCTGAGAATAATAATCCTCTAGCATTATAAATGTTTTTAAGAATTTGACCTTGTTCAAATAGGATGACCATAGGTTAGAAGATTGATCAACGTCACCAAGTGAGAGGTGATAAGTTCTTTCAACAAGTGGGCCATTCTCAAGTGTTCCGCTATAACATTCTTCCCCCATCACAGACTGGGCTAAGTCATGAACAAGATCATGGATCTTGAACCATGTGTCGTATGCAGATTCATCTATCTCAACATCCACAAAAAATGACTTTAAATATAATTCATTCCACACTCTGTCACCATCACCTTCCAATTCAAACCCTTCATCTGTTGAAAGGAACCCATTAGCCATCCAAAGTTCTATTACCTTTTTCTTACTCATCCCTCGATCTTTGGGAAACACTGCAAGGTAGGCAAAACAACGTCTTAATTTTGCTGATAAATTCAAATAACTTAATCTTAAAGCAGGCAGGATAGAATCTTCTTCCTGTGGTAAATTCCAAATCTGACTTTCCTTGATGCGGAGCCACTCATCTTCATTACGTTGGAAACGCAGAAGACCTCCTAAAGTTTTAGCAGCAAGTGGAACTCCGTTGCATTTCCTTACTATCTCCCTCCCGATAGTTATAAGTTCTTCGCGTGCCTCCTCCTTCGATCCAAAAGCTCGTTGTCTGAATAACTCCCAACAATCATCTTCTGACAACTGTGATAACTCATGAGGAGCAGACACTGTTCCTGTAATGGATGCAACTGTTCTAAGACGGGTAGTGACCAGAATCGAAGCACCCTTTGATCCACAGGCCAAAACATATTTCAACTCATCCCATTTCCCCTGGTTATCATTCCACACGTCGTCCAGGACAAGCAAATATCTTTTTCCTCCAAGCTCCTGTTGGACCCGTCCTTGTAATGGTTCTAAACCTAAATCTCCACAAGGTTGCCTTGTAGCTGACTCTATTATATCTTTTGACAGCCTTTTCAAATTGAAATTCTCAGAAACACATACCCAAATTCGTGGCTCAAAATGACTAACCACCCTCTGATCATGGAAGACGTGCTGGGCAAGGGTAGTTTTCCCGAGACCGCCAATACCAGTAACTGGATACACTGATACGTCCTCCAAATTAGAAGCATCACCAACCAAAAAGTCCACAATTGTCTCCTTGTCTGCTTCTCTTCCAAAGAATCGGGTTTGAGTAATGATTGAGGTAGTTTGCCGCCGTTCCATCACTTCATTCTTCCCCTCGTGAACCGTCTCGCTTAACTGAAACCTCGACTTTTCCTCATCAATTTGATAAAGTCTTTGACTGATGCCTTTCAATTTCTTGGCAATTTTGCAGCGGAACATAACATGAGAGAGATTGAAATAGTATAAGCAAGAGGCTTGTACCTCCTCTTGGTATTCCAACGAAAGGGCCTCCGTGGAACACTCATCCAAGATGTCATCCAGCAAGTAAGCTGCATCTCGAAGGTCGAGCAGCCAATACTTGAGAGATTTGTTGGTGAGCTGCTTCTTCTCAGCCTCTTCGAGCACAGCCTTAATTCTAGTGAGGACCCCTGAAAGCCTTCTCATTTCTCTCCCGACACCCAGAAACAAACAGAGCTCTTTCTGAATGAGTGAGCTCAAACTTTCAAGTGCAGCCTTAATCACAGCCTCCGTCATCGTGTGAATGACAAGATCCGATGTCGTGAGAAGTGTTTGTTTTGTAGGAAGTTGAGTAGGGAGGTTGAAAGCTTGGGAATATATGCAGTAATGAAGGACAAAGATGAGCAGAGAGACTTTTCAAGTCAACAAGCAAGCAAAACCGCGTGGGCGTTGTACAATAATGTAACACTTGATCAAATGCTGTCGAAAGTACATGGAAGCAAGCAAGCAACACCACAGACGAGAATCATGGATGTTTTCTTGATTGGTGTACGGAAAAAATTACAAATAATTACCCTTCCCATCTCATAACGCCAAATCTTTTTTGAAAAAACTAAATTTGACATTATCATAATATGCATATAAATCCCAAAGTACCAAATTGAGCTCCAAATTGAATAAAACTGCGCGATTGCAAGAATATACTAATGTTAACAATGCTCATTCCGGTTCTAAATATATATATATATACATATATATCTGTGTGTGAGTTACAAGAGCTTTTTTATCGATACGGTACAAACAATTAAAAGAAATATCAAAATCTTACTTGATCAAAAATACTTACGAAAATGATATACTTAAAATTGCTCAAATCAAAAAGGAAAAATGACAGTAAAATACCATGTGAATTTCAAAAAGACAAATAAGGTACCTGAATAAGCAAAATGACAAATAAGGCATTAGGTACCAATCTGGAATTTTAATTTTTGGCCTAATGACCGAATTGCCCTTATTATGTTTGAAAATTGAGGAGATGGAGAAAGGGAGAAATTGCCTCCTCCCGGTGAAAGCAATCCCCCCACTTGACGAAACCGAATCCCCCCACTCGACGAAACCAATCCCTCCACTCAGCTAATGAAACCGAATCCCCCCACTCGGAGAAACCAATCCTCCCACTCGGTGAAACTATAAAATGCTGTCAGTGAAATTGGTAACTGTCGCAAGAGTAGAGTGCAGTCATTTGAATATATGTAATGTATCTGCTATCATATGGCTACTGGTTTTTGGTAAATATTGTTGCGTGAATGGTATATTCCATTACACATGTAGTTAGTATGAAAGTTAATGGTTCAATGTTTACTTTGATGTACTTCAGGTGCAGTCATTTGAATATATGTAATGTATCTGCTATTATATGGCTGCTGGCTTTTGGCAAATATTATTTCGTGAATGGTGCATTGCATTACACAAAGTAGTAACTCTCACTATGAAAGTTGTAAATACCACTATGTGTTGTGTAAAATTCAGCGTGAAATTGTATTGTTTTTTATAGAGAATTTACCCCGCCCCTCACAAAAGGTTGCAAAACCCATTGAAAGAGTAGTAAATCTCACTGTGAAAGTTGTTATTCCCACTATGTGTTTTGTAAAATTCATCGTGGAATTGTTTTGTTTTTGATAGAAAAGTTGCCCACCCCTTCACAAAAGGTTGTAAAACCCATTGAAGAAGTAGTAAATCTCACTGTAAAAGTTGTTATTCCCACTATGTGTTTTGTAAAATTCAGCGTGGAATTGTTTTGTTTTTTACAGAAACATTGGCCAGCCCCTCACAAAAAGTTACAAATCCCATTGAAAGTGTAGTAACACTCACTGTGAAAGTTGTAAATCCCACTATGTGTTTTGTCAAATTCAACATGAAATTATATTTTTGTAGAGAAAAGTTGCCCTGCCCCTCAAATAGGTTGTCAAACCCCTCGAAGAAGTGGTCAAATTCACTTTGCGAGTTATAAATCTCATTATATGTGTAGTAACATTCTGGGCAAATGATTTAACAATACTTGAAAATCAGGCAACTTTACATTTCCTGAAAATAGTTTGCAAATCCCCTTACATACAAATCCCCTTACAAATCAGAGAACCTTTTTTGGTGACTAGAGGAGTTTGGATTTAGTTTCTTCGAGTGGGGAGATTTGGTTTCGTTGAATGGAGGGATTGGTTTCGTTGAGTAGGGGGGTTCAGTTTCGCTGAGAGGAGGGATTAGTTTCACTGAGTAGGTGGATTGTTTTCGCCAAGTGGGGGCTGTTTCTCTTTCACTGAGTGAGGAGATTTCTTTCGCCGGGAGGAGGTGGTTTCTACCTTTCTCTATCTCCTCAATTTTCAAACATAATAAGGGCAATTAGGTCTTTAGGCTAAAAATCAAAATTCTAGATTGGTACCTGATGCCTTCTTTGTCATTTTGCTTATTCAGGTGCTTTATTTGTCTTTTTAAAATTCACATGGTATTTTACTGTCATTTTTTTAATAAAAAATAACTTTCAAAATATTAGCAACTCATTCTCGATAAGAACAAAGTTTGCATTAGCCTACCTCCCTCTCCCATCACATGACATCTAGCACATTTGACGTTGTATTTTTTTTATTGGGAAAAAAGTGAAGACTTCAGCTCAGAGGTGAAAATTATACCCAGAACTTGATAAAGAGAATTTAAGTTAAAACAAATTGTCCGGTGAAGTCGCTTTTAACCTCAATATTATTCATCAATGATAGCTTGTGTTTACAAAAGTATTTTGTTTTCCTTCAATTTTTTAATAAAATTGCTGATGCATTAAAGTTTTAATAAAATGATATTTGCAGAAGAAATATAGAGTAAACCTTCTGTATTCGTTACTTTAAACTATTTTTTCAGTTCTATTTATAAGGATGAGATTTTTTTTATCATTAAATTTTTAATATAGATGTACTATTTTATCTTTTATTTATTATTATTTACTGAAAGTAAAAAAATAAATTTTATTAACTCTGTCATAAAATTTAACAATTTTTTAAATTTACTTGTATTTAATATAAATATTTTTGAAGAAAATAACAATCTGCATAATAATAAATAAAAGGTAAGATAATATGTTTATGTTAAAAATTTGATGATATCACTTATAAATAGGAGGAAAAAATCTCTTAGTTTTATAAAGAAAAATAGTTTAAAATACTGAGTATAACAAGATTCACTTTTTTTTTAAAACAAATATCATTTTATGAAAACTTTAATGTATCAGCAATTTCATTAAAAAGTGATGGAAAACAAAATGCTTTTGTAAACACAAGCTAACATTGATGAATAATATTGAGGTTGAGAGTTCCTTTGTTATGAGGAAAATAGAGGGAAGATGAGAGAAGAAAATTTTTTAATAATTTTAATAAGCTTCGTTTAAAAAATTAAAGAGATAGGGTTAAAAACTTTTAACTAATTTTACTTATTATTATTATTTTACATCTTTTTTTATTAAAATTTTACAACCTAACTCCTTTGATTTTTTTTTTTAAAATCAAGTTTATTAAATTAAAATTTTTTCATCCCTTCAATTTTCTCGTAGCAAACGCAGCATAAAGAGACCACGTCGAACATTATGATTGGACTTAGATTCTCCTTGTGAAGGCATGGGCACAATTTTCACACGTGGGGGTAAAATGGAGAGAGAGATGCTTTCACTTTTCAAATGGGTGAAAGAAGCATTCGGGGAAGCGAGGTGGAAAGCTAAAATCTTAAGTTCTTTTCCCAGTAAAAAAAGAGGAATTCTTAGGCAGCTCCGGAGTACCGCTTCATCTGTAGGCTGACCAATGAAATGATCACGTATCAAACAATTCCATTCCATCCATTAGCGGACATGTCCAGCCCCCCTTTTTGTAATATTTTAGTAATTCGTATAGTAATCCGTCACTTTTTTGTTTGAATCTCTTATACGAATTATTACAAAGAGATGAATATGCACCTCCGTCCTCCTTTTGACAGCATCCCCCCCCCCCCGGGGCCAGTCGCCACGCTACTCCGGCCTCCCTTCTCACATGCATACTTCTCTTATTCTTTCACGCTTGCATTACAAAACTTGACTTAAAACATACATTTAATTTTTAAATTTTGTACAAAGTTTTAATTTGGTTTTTTAGTTTTAAAAAATATACATTTGGTCTTTTAATTCTTCAATGATTTTTTTATAACAATCATGAATGTTTTGAAAATCAAATTTAATATGTTAGTATTTAAGAATATTTCATTAATGTTTAAGATCTTAATGTCATTATTTTTTTAGAAAAATTTTAAGATCAAAAGACTAAAAATATAAATTTTAAAGTTAAAGGACTAAATTAAAACATTGTACAAAATTGAAGAACTAAATATATGCTATTAGCTATAACTGTAAAAATTTGAGAATGATTTTTTTTTTCCATTCCACAGATTTTATTTATCTTTACATTTAATTTAAAAAGGTTTATAATTATAAAATTTTAATTTTAATTATGATTTCAAGAATAAAGCAATTTATATTATAAAATATTAAATAAAGACACATTCATTCTTACAAGGGAACATAACTCATATGCTTTAAGTCCCTAATTTTCATGCCAGGGGACTTACTCCTTTAACAGCAGTAGTACTATTTATTATACTAAATTATTACTCTGCTCATTTAAAATTATGAGATTTTTTTAATTAATTTCCATCCCCAAAGAATATTCAGCGTCTTTTAAAATTATCTACTCTTTTTATGTCTCCTCTTATTTAAGATGACGATTTAATTGCAGATAAATATAAAATTTTCATTGATTTTTAATATTAATCAAGGACATTTAAAAAAACTTATTAATTTTTTTAAAAACGCAAAAATATCTCATATTCTAAACACACAAAATTAAAAAAAAAAAAGTTATAATATTCAACCCAAACAAGAAATTGGGAGGAGGCAGATGGTCCTGGAAAAGGGTTGAAGAAAAGACAGGAGAGAGAAAAGGGCGGGTGGATCATGATGCATCCGTCTATGTCAACATTTAATTGGCCGGGTGGATGCGGTCCATCCAGCTAACCCTCATTATTATTAATCATCAATTTCCCTTTTCTTTTTTTTCCTATTTATTTTTAACAAAATTGTATCAAAGTCCACTCAAAAGAAATAAGTATAAAAAAAATATTTGAAATCATCAAATTAATTTTAATTTTTAAAAGATTTTATTGTAATAGAATTTACTTATTTAATTATTAAATTATTCTCATTTTTTTTAAGTATACATTGATTAAAAAAAATAATTGTTTACTATTTAAGATGCAATAATTAATAATTAATAAAGATATTAACAATATCTTTTTAACGCATCATATAAGCATATTTAACTTGAAATCGTTATGATGAGTCGAGAAGATATATTGTTAGTATCTATCATGATTGTTGTTACGTGTGGGACATTAAATTGCTAATGACTACCTTTTCAGTCATGAACACATACTGTTAAGCGGTAAGAAAATGTGTTGTTAATACATATTATGATAATTATTAATTGTTACACTTTAAATTGTTGAAAAATACCATTTTAATTTTCAATGCATACTATTAAAAAGACCTGATAATTTGAAAAAAAAATAAAGATAGTTTAGTAATTAAATAAGTAAAATCTCTTATAATGAGCTTGCTTAACACTTCAAATTAATTTAATAATTTTAAAGATCTTTTGTATTTATTTTTTATGGATGAGAATTTAATGTCATTTCCTCAGAAATAAAGAAGAATAGAGTTGGTGATAAAATAAAGAAAAAAAAAAAAGAAGGAAAAATGATGATAAATAATAACGAGGCTTAGCTGGATGGGCTGCACCCATCTGCCCAATTAAATGTTGACGTAGATGGAAGCGTCAATCCGCTCATGACGCGAATAGTGAAGAGAATCCTACCACTCCAATGGTTAAGGGATAAAACTTGCCAGCTATTATGATACGTATTAATAATAGGGGAAATTGCAAAAAAAGACCTTCAAATTGTAAAAACGCAGATAGGGACCCTTGACAACTTCACTTTGGGTTTTGACAAGAATAATATGCCCTGAAGTTGTCAAAACCCAAAGTGAAGTTGTCAAGGGTCCCTATCTGCGTTTTTGCAATTCCAAGGTCTTTTTTTACAATTTTCCCTTAATAATATATGTTTTGATGCATATTTTTTGTCCCATAATCCCCCGGACTATGCGAACCTCTAAAATGCGCTTTTTTTTAAAATGAAAAACTGAATATCATTCCTCATGAAAAGAAAATCCAAGAGCTCTAAACTTATCTTTAATCAACTCCCACTTCTTGACTAAGAGGGGAAGAGTGATCAAAGAGCCAAAAATTTCCTTGTGAGAAATTTTAGCTAACATATGGGCAGCAATCATACCTTTTCTGAAAACACGTGAAGTTATGACTTGTCAGTCCCTATTAATTACTCCCTCCGTTTCTTATTATAAGAGACATTTGATGCTTATAATATGTTCCTAAATATAAGAGACACTTAAAAGTTGTCTCTACTTTTTTGTGTTGATTTTTTATTTTACCCATATTTATTGTCTCCAACTCACACTCTCTCTCCTTCCCACTTCTCTTTCTTTTAAGAATTTACTATTGTTCTCTCTCATGCTTTCTCTCCTTATTAATGAGGGCATTTTTGGAAACAAAATTATACTTTTTGCACATTAATTATTCTTAACTAATTTTAACTGTTTTTTTGATCAACGTAATTCGGTTATTTGTCTCTTATAATAAGGAACAGAGGGAGTAACATTCTAGCGTCATCAATGATACCTTAAAAGGATAGTCATTTTGCAGCTATACAATCAAAAAGTGAAAAGATTTTAGAAAAATTACTGTAGAGTCTCACAGAAGAGAGTTTACTACTGAAAGGTCCCATAAAATCATAAAATGTATATGAGGTCCCAAGAGACTTTATAGTAAAAAATTTGAAACGTACAATTACTTTCTTGCCCTTCTGATTAAAGAAAGAAACCGAAGCACACTATTGAGAGAAAAACTCCTTTCAGTTGTCATCTTCGTGAAATCCGTTGCCGTCTCGTTCATGTTCATCCTTGTGTGCTCCGACAGCTTCAATCTTCGGCGAGGTCTGTCAGTGTTTGCTCGGTACATTGTCGCTCGCTGCTCCGCACTCCGTCGGTCTCTGGTCCGCACTCAGTCGGTCTCTGGTCAGACGCCTCCAATATCGTGCACAGTCCATCGGTCTTTGGTTTGCACCCCACTACCAGCGAGCCTCGTGGGTTCCATCATCGATGACCTTCGCACCCCACCGCCGGCGAGCCTCTCTCTCTTGGTATATCATATTGATATTATCTATTACCGGCATATTTAGGTGAGGCGCTTCTCAGTTTCAGAGCAACAGTTGGCTATTGTGTAAGTTGTATTATTTAAATTTCAAAGTAATGTTGGCTATTGTCAATTGTTGTGTATAAGTTGTTATTACAGTGATCGAAAGCTGTCATTAACGACCCCATGACCTGTCCTGTTATGTAGGATGGAAGACGCGTGTAAGTTGTATTATTTAAATTTGAAGTAATGTTGGCTATTGTCAATTATTGTGCATAAGTTGTTATTACAGTGATCGAAGGTTATCATTTACGACCTCATGACCTGTCCTGTTATGTAGGATGGAAGACTTGTGTAAGTTGTATTATTTAAATTTTGAAGTAATGTTAGTTATTGTTAATTGTTGTGCATAAGTTGCAATTACCTAAGTGGAGCGATTCCAAATGAACTAGGAAACCTATCACAACTCAGAAGTTCGTGAGTGCAGTATTTTAATGTAGTTTCTGGTTCATTTCATCCAATCTATGTTGTTATAAGGATGGACAAATCTCATTCATTCATCATATTCCTGTATTTTCTAGGGTTATATCAAGTAACTCCCTCAGTGGGAATATACTATTCTTTATATGTTATAATTGGTTACTCTGTATGTTGTCATTTACTATCCTGTATGTTGTCATTTACTACTCTATGTTGTCATTCACTAGTATGTACGCTGTCAACTGCTTATTTGTATGTTGTGATTGGTTGGTGTGAAGGTTGTTATTGCCTTGTGTGCAGATTGTCATTAGCCTCTGTTAGTTTGTCGCTTGCTTATGTATAGGTTGTAATTTCCTGCTGTTCTTGTTGTCATTCGGTTTAGCGTGGATTGTCATTGGCTGCTGTGTATGTTGTAAATGGCACAAATGTAGATTGTGATTGGCTGATGTGTAGGTTGTGACTGTATGCTGTGCATGTTGGATGCTTATACTCCCCTCAAGAAATCCATGACTTGAAGGTTGGATGCTTGTGGTGGCTTGTAACTTATCGGAACAACCTGCATAGTGATCAAGTGCTGTCTTTTCTACGAGGAAACTCTCAAAGCAAGAAGAAGAAATAAACGATGAGCATAGATTGTATTTAGTTTTTTTTATTTGACAGCTGAATGTAAAGTTCATATTTTGTTTCTTTATTTGACCATGTAATGATAGCTGGATGTTAAGATATGTTAATGTGTATTGACATCCTTTACTGGTTATGAAGTTTTTGTAATGACATTCATGTATTTTGACAAAACAGGAAATTCTTCGCTCCACACACGGATCATGTCCACAAATGCAGACTAAATAAAACTGGATAAACAAATGGTAACCATGATGACATAATAGGCATATATCACAGTCCTCTCTGCCACATCCATTTACAACCTCAACGGGGTTGTTGACAACCCGAAGACAAGTGGTTAACAACCTGGGCAGTGCCCCTAACAAATCACTCTGTGGGATGCCACAGCTTATAAATAGATTGTATTATCAGCACATATAACGACCTTAACAAAAAAAATTGAGAGCATTTTAAAGTTATTAACAGCTTTAATTGAACCCAATAGGATTACAGCAGATTTTTACTGCAGCAATTCATTTACAACCTCAACAGTGGGTGTTGACAACCCGAAGAGAAGTGGCTAACAACCTTCGCAATGGGCCTAACAAATTTGTATGAAAACTTATCAGCAATGCTGTACCTATATAGTGCTTATCTAAGGGCTACTGTATTAGGAAAAATTTATCCTTCTCCAATAACCAGACCCTTTCACTTTGTTGAATTCATTTCCGGAATTGGGGTTGGCATCATTTCTGAACCACATGACAATGATAGTGGGTCTTCACTAAACACATTGGGTGGAGACATGGACAATGCATCTGAACCTCCGAACAAGTCTTCTATCCTACATAACAGGACAGGTCATAGGGTCGTTAATGACAACCTTCGATCACTGTAATAACAACTTATGCACAACAATTAACAATAGCCAACATTACTTCAAAATTTAAATAATACAACTTACACAAATCTTCCATCCTACATAACAAGACATGTCATGGGGTCGTTAATGACAACCTTCGATCACTGTAATAACAACTTATGCACAATAATTGACAATAGCCAACATTACTTCAAAATTTAAATAATACAACTTACACAAGTCTTCCATTCTACATAACAGGACAGGTCATGGGGTCGTTAATGACAGCCTTCGATCACTGTAATAACAACTTATGCACAACAATTGACAATAGCCAACTGTTGCTCTGAAACTGAGAAGCGCCTCACCTAAATATGCCGGTAATAGATAATATCAATATGATATACCAAGAGAGAGAGGCTCGTCGGCGGTGGGGTGCGAAGGTCATCGATGATGGAACCCACGAGGCTCGCTGGTAGTGGGGTGCGAACCAAAGACCGACGGACCATGCACGAGATTGGAGGCGTCCGACCAGAGACCGACTGAGTGCGGACCAGAGACCGACGGAGTGCGGAGCAGCGAGCGACAATGTACCGAGCAAACACTGACAGACCTCGCCGGAGATTGAAGCTGTCGGAGCACACAAGGATGAACACGAACGAGACGGCAACGGATTTCACGAAAATGACAACCGAAAGGAGTTTTTCTCTCAATAGTGTGCTTCGGTTTCTTTCTTTAATCAGAAGGGCAAGAAAGTAATTGCACGTTTCAAATTTTTTGCTATAAAGTCCCTTGGGACCTCATATACATTTTATGATTTCATGGGACCTTTCAGTAGTAAATTCTCTTCTGTGGGACTCTACAATAATTTTCCCAAAGATTTTCCTATATCCTCTTATCCAACATAAGCTAAGGCTATGGATGACACCTAAAAGTTTAGCAATAATCGGGGGAACTGAGGTCAATTTGTAACTGAACCCGTAGATCCATCAATCGTTTCTGTCGCAAATAACTCCTCTACAATCGCTTTATCCGTTGACCAAAACAGAGCCATCTACTGCTACCTTAACAAAAGCCTCCAAAACATTACCAGAGTGAGCGTAATGTAATTGGATCCTATTTCACCGAAGGCCATGCTACAAAAGATCTAGATCTGAGCAAGCTGTAAAAAAGCTGGATTTTTTGTTATCATCCAAGCTGGTGGCTTCTCCTCCAAACAGCTTGTTACACCATGTTAGCCAAACATCCCAGCAAATGTAGCCAAATAAGGTGGGCCATGGAACTTTCTTGTTGAAATTGATGCCAATATCATTAGTTAAGTTCCATTTTGCCCAATCTGGTCCCCTTAGTAAGGTAAACATCATCCACTTGTCATTCTTGACCGCTGACTTCCACCTTTTCCTAGCATTTGTGCAATCCCGAAGCAAGTGCACTGAATCTTCTTCCTCCTCACATTCAAAGGGGCAAGAATCCACACTCTCAATGCCGCGTCTCCTCCTCAACTATGCCTTGTGCACCCTTCCATGCGTAAAAATCCACATAAAGGATTTGATCTTTTCTAGGACTGACCATTTCCAGAGGATCTTCCAACTGTTATTTCCCCTTCGCTGTGTACCTGCAAGTAGGAAATTATTTGTAGTTTTAAACAAAGAAAAACAACCATCAATGGATAGTTTCTAATAATTTTTACCCTCTCCTCTCTTCTCGGGGGTGGGTGTGCTCGGGTGATGCAGTCAACAATATGCTTGTGGGGCCAAATCCCCATCTTTTGCTTATCCCATTCTCCATACTCAATTAGGTAGTCTGCCACAAAATTGTTCCAACGTATCTGGTCTTCATACCCCAGTACTAAGTCAATGAGGGGAGTATTCACCTAAAAAAAACACGCTTTTATGTTTCAGCCCTGGACCGAAAAAAAAATTGAATTGAGGTTTTGGCCAAAATGGGGTTTAACTTTTGGCGAGAATTTTTTTGTTTTCTGAGTATAGAAATAGACTTGTGTTTTAAGTGTGTTAAAATGTAGAACAAGAATAAAGGAAATATTAGAAACTCACGTCCAAGAGTAAAGAGATGTCAAAAGGAAGAAAGCAAAGAAAGAAGATAACAGAGAAGAGGACCGTGGTACGCCGTGATAGTTATGAGAGGACAATTGTTATATCGGACACATCCATGTATGACTTCTTTTTTGGTTCAGATTTGCAAAGCGCGCACACATATCAATTTTTTAATTTCTATAATATAATTGTTTTATTATTAAAAAAAGCATGCTTTGGAAAATGAAAAATAAAGGGAAAATAATGGAGACTTAGTGCTTGTTTAGAATGGCTGTGGAACCCTTTAAAAATAACTTTTCAATCATGATTTATAAAATATAAAATAATTATATAAAAAGAATTTTATTTTGCACGTTTATAAACATTTAATGATCCCTATGAGAATAGTGCATCCCATGTGATGCTGACACGTTACCAGAGAACATAACTTGCATGCTTTCAGTCCCTAATTTTAAACAAGTCCCCAAAAATATAAAAGCAGAGATTTTTCAGTTCCAAAGTCAAACACAGACTGCGGGTGTGTTTAGATTAGTAGTGGTGGAAATAATTTTTTTTCAATATGACTTTTACAGAAATCAAATAGTATAATATGATTTATGTTTGGATTGTGTTTTATAAAAAAAGTCAGTTTGAAAAGCTTGAGAAGCTAAAACTTGTTTGAATGATTAATAAAAAAATAAGTTTAGATGCAAAATGATTTAAAAGAACAAAAATTTTATTAAGTAATACATATCTAATACTTCTCTGGTCCTTAATATAGGACCCAATTGTTGAGTTAGTTTTGGTCCTAAATATAACACTCATTTCTCATATTTATCAATTTTCTCTAAATTACCCTTACGGATACTCCCTCAACCATAATTAAGTAGAAGAAGAACAAGGGGTATTAAGAAAGATGATTATGTTATTTTAAGACAAACATGTCACATTTCTTATAATTAACTAACTTACCTAACTTCCTTAATCTAATCAAATTAATTAAATGAGTCTTGTATTAAGGACCGGAGTAGTATTATATATATAATGTGGCCATTTTAAAAGAAGTATTAAAAATAAAGAATTTTAATTTATTGTTAGGAAGAAATCAAAAAATACTGAAATACTTAATTAAATAGATTTAATGGATAAATATATATATATATATATATATATAATGGTGGCAAACGCTACGCCTCTATTCTCGTTTTTTGACTTCCCAACCAAAAAAAAAAAAGCCTACAGACATCCAAAAAATAATATACTCCAAAAGCTTTTCCTGGACTTATCGATAAAAGCAACAAAAAGGAGCTTCTTTCTAAAAGCTCATTTGCACAAATAAGTCAGATTATAAAAATGTGATTCTAAACACATTTTAAGCTCTTTTTACCGATAGAGAAGTTAGTTTAAGGCTTCAAATGTGATTCCAAACACACCCTGCAACATATAGAAACGCTACGTAGAAAATGATGATAATGTGATGGGAAGAAGATGGTTGGAAGAATAATCAGCTGGAACAAGCTTGTAAAAAGAAACACTGTAACATACTCTGTTCTTTCAAAAATATACTTTGTATTCTCAAAATTGAACAATTTATGAACTCATGGGACATTCTATAAATTTACAAATTTTGAGTTGAACCTAGTAAAACCCTGTCGCTTTCCTTTAACATGTCTAGTCTAGTGATTTTTAAATTTGAAAAATTTAAGAAGAGAAGTTGTTTTAAAAAGCGTATTTAGTGGTAGTAAGTTTTATGAATAAGTGCAGTATCTTTCCATGAACATTAACTTAGTAGATAAGATATCATACTAATGAGTGATTAACTTCTAAAAAAATAAATATCTCAGTATAATTGTACACATAAAATAACTAGTTTGTTTCCCACGACAGCTTTGATGGCAGAAACTAATAACTAATTTAATCGATCATTTATGATTTTTCAATGTAAAGCCATGGATATGATTTCCGAACTTCAAAATTTAGCCCTTAGCTTAATAACATCGTTAATTACAGGGTGATTAAATTAATAATCTGGACAGTACTGAGGCTGAGGTTTGCCACATATAGACGTGGAATATAATGCAATGCAACATATATCGTGTTGTTCAGAGTTGGAATCAATGCAACGTTTTTTATTGAACTTCGTTATCGTACATTCTGGATTTTTTTTCATTAGAAGACAACTTCATTAAACAAGTAAAATGATACAGTAAGAAAAACTATTGAGCTTCTTGCATGATACCCAAGAACAGACACAAAGAACTCAATAAAACTGACGCTAAGCAAACTCTTAATACAAACAGCACAAAGCAAAGAAAAACTGTGAGCTCCAAGCAAAAGCTGATGCACGAAACGAGCCATAATGCTGCCAGAAGGAACTAGGACGACCAACGCGAGCAAGAACTAAGGCGACCACTTGGGTAATTAGCTCCAAAGCTAAACACAAACCACCTTGAGGGGCGACAAAGAAGACAAATCTGCTACAGAGAGAGCATCCCAGAAACAGAGGGGCTGGCACAATTGAATGCAAAACACAGTAAGCATGGAAACTAGCAGCGGAAGAAAGGAAGATGCAACCTTCAATGTGAAAAATGCTCCCTCCATTCTATATTTGCAACAATGGCTCATTAAGAAAGTCACGTTGCACAAGATTACATAAAACTTGACTCCCAAATTAGTGCTGATAAATGCAGTACAGAAATATTAGAGCCTATACAAACTTTAAGAAGAAAATGATGATAATGTAATGTCACTTGGTTATAATACCCAACCCCGGTTTCTAGATCTCGAGCACGTTAAAGATTGTAAATCAAATCCTTTGCAATTGCTTCATCCCTTCTCCCATCTATTATGGATAGGAAGGGCTTGAACCGTCCCATCTGGAAAGCAATAAATTCTTCATTCTAACGAAAGCAAAGGGAATGTAGACTGCGAAGAATATGTACTGAAACCAGCAGTGATTGGTTGCTTTTCTCAAGTATCCTTAGTTCAATCATGGAAAGACGAGGAAACATGTTTTCCACATCCTCCTTTGATAATTGGACGACGTCTGGTAGCTTATAGACCTTTGAAATCTCTTGGATCCTAACCATCATATGATTCATCATCGATGTATTGCACATGAAGCATGTTATGTCTTTAGTGTCTTCAAGACGGTAGTTTCCCTAACAGTTGCAATCTGCAAGTTGTATAAAATATAAATCTTTTATCACCGGAAAAAAATATATAAGTCTTTGCGGGTAGGGCTATCCATCCATTGTGGCAATTTAAACTGTACTGTATAACCAATGAACCTCAGTTGAAACAATAAATACGAAGTAAATATGCTAGCTCAAGAACACTTTCTTTCGATCTTGGCTATTTAAATTATTCCCCACATGACAGTGTATTGTCATAAACAATAAACAGACCTAGTGATAGGAGTATAAACAATGAACATCAAACGAAACACTTACCAAGAGAAGAAACCAAGGTTGGGCCATGAATTGAATGCAATGGCATAAACCCAGGATAACAACACGCACAAGGAGCGTAGTTTCTGAAATGCTACATAAACATGGAAGACGGCAGAAAAAGAAAAGGAAGACGCAAATTTCAACGTGCCAAATGCTGTCATCATTCTACCTTTGAAACAATGACTCGTTAAGGAAGCCACAGATTGCAAAGATCAGACCAAACTTACTTTCCAATTTAGTACAGTGAAATTTTCCGGCTCCAGCAGAATGCAGCAGGGAACAGCACTTTCATGCTTAAACTCTAAAATTTGTCATCGAGAGACAGAGCCTCCATTTTGTTGAGTAACTCGGCTCCACCCAACGGGGCTTGGAATCTGACTCATTCTTCAACAAAAGTCTGTACATATAGAAGCAGAGACTTCTGAGTTTCGAAAAGAAACGCAAAATACGGCAGTAAAATATTGTAATTTGGATTCTCAAAATTTTAAAAAATACGAAATATGAGCATAATAAATTTGTTTATTATAAGAATAACCTCAGGACCTGTCTATATATATAGCCACGTCGTACCTCCTTGTAAGAATCCCATTCACCATATTGAGAAAAAGGAAAAATTAATATATAACTTCCTGTAATTTCACTTCATTAGAAATTAAATCCATATAATTTTTATTTTATCATGATTTTCTCAATTATATGCATGAGTTTTTATACTCATAATTTGTTAATTTATTAGAAAAATACATTAGTAGCCAATGACATGGCACTCACTCGTGTTCAACAAGATTAATTTTACTATATGGATCTAAATAAAATCAAAACCAATCAAATTATAATATACATGGATGCAAGATTACAAAGAACAGCATAATAATTTTTATATTGATAATAAATAAATTATAATCCATCATTGTATTTTTGTATAAAAAATTCTTTTACTTTTGTATCTTATTGCAGCTCATATGTAATTTAGTCAGTATCCATATCAATCATAATTAACAGATTATGTGACCATTAGGACTAATTCCTTTAATTAAAGAATTTGTAAGGAATTACTACTTCTGATTCTTAATATAAGAACTAGTTGACTAATTTGAGTAGATTGAAGAAACTAATTAAGTTAGTTATTTATAATAAATGAATATTTTCTAAAATATCCTTACTAATCAAATACATTGGTTAGAAGTATCATTATTACAATGATTACTTTGAAAAAAATAAATAAATATGATAAACAAAATAGATTGTGGTTTTATATTTATGACCAAAATAAAAGTCAAATGAGCTCTTATATTAAAAAACCAAGATAGTAATTAAAAAATATCAGAATCAGATTTCTAATTAGGTAGAACAAAACCATAACAATCTCAAATTAATTTTTTTTCTTTTGAAAAAAAGCTAGAAATAAAACCCCCGTGATCCAAGCAATGCGACAAATTGTATATATGGAAATTAGAGTACATACCTCTACGTGCGAACGAAATAAGACGAACAACATTGACGTTGACCAAAATATGCATCTTAATCTCTTATAACACGATGTGGAACATGAGCAATTTTGTGCCAATCCTCCCCTGTTCCCTCCTTGCATCTCTTCCCTAACTCCGAATAACCATAAATTTCCAAATATTTCAAATTTGTGAGGCTCTGAGTGCTCATCGGAAGTGACGTCAACTTGGGGCATTGAGATATATACAATGACTCAAGCGACCCAAGGTTCCCCGACCAGTTGGGCAAGGACACTAAATTTGGGAGATAAGACAAAAATAACGATCGAAGGGTCATAATATGCTCTAAAGCATCATGGATGTCTTTCACCTCCCCACATCCTTCAATAGCTAGATGTTGAAGGGCTATGAGGTGTCTAAAACCTGCAGACAGTTTGAATTTACGAGAGTTATTAATATAAATCTTTTTAAGAAAACGCAACCCGTGCGACGCTTCCTCTGTTATTGTCTCAAGGTTGTCACATAGAGCAATTTGAAATTGTTCGAGAGCTTTCAAGTTGGCGCGTCCAGTTGGGAGAACTTTAAGTCTGCGAAGCCCGAAAATCGTAGATGTTTGCGGTGCTCAAGGCCTACTAGCATCTCTTCTGGAAAGGAAGTCAACTTTCCATCTCCATTCAAATCAAGGCGTTCAAGATTGGGCAGATTTTGAATTGAACCAACTAACGCCCTGCTACATCCATTTGTAACTTGTAGTTGAGTGACGGAGGGAAGGAAAGGCAAGTTTAGTTGCGGACAATGAGTGATGTCCAACTTTGAGAGACGTGGGAACATGCTGTCTGCATCCTCCCTTGACAACTTTACAAGGCTCTGTAGCCTTGACAGCTGTAGATCTTCCAGAGCTTGGAAACCTCTGTCAACCCCATCAACATAAGATTCCTCATCTATATATTGCACGTGATTCATGTCCCACAAGCTCAGACGCTTCAAACTTCAAAGACGGAAGTTTTGCCAGGCACGAAACACATACAAGATTTTTACAATCCCTGAGTCGTAAGGAAATTAAATCCTTGACCGTAGGATTAATCATCCATTGTGGGAGTTGGGTGCCAAGATATCCCCTTGCAACCAAACTTTTAAGTTGCGCATGAGGTTCAAGAGCTTCAAGAATTTTCTCCTCGTTTTCTTGTAATTGGGATTGCTCATTCCTTTCCCAAGACAACTCCAATTCATTAAGGCGCTTATCAGCCAAGTTGGCCTTTTTGGCATCCGTCATGCTTTTCACTCTCTCCAAGTGCTCAATGTGGAGTGTTCCTTCAAGTTTCAAATTTCCTACTTCTTCTAATAAGAACCCTTCCTGCTCACCGACAATATATGCACTTAAGGTCTTCAAGCAAATTAGTTGACGCATCTCAGGGGCCAATCTAGATAACGACCGACACTCTTTCAAATGTAGATGACGAAGAGATTTTAAGCACTTCAACTGATCAGGCAACTTTTTGAGAGACCCACACTTGTTCAAATTCAAAATTTGCAAATTCCACAATCTACATATCGAATCAGGAAGCATTGTAAATTTACCACGAGAAAGGTTCAAATACCTCAAATGTTTTAATTGGTCAATAGAAGATGACACCTCACTTGAAAACTTGAGGTCAAGTGCCCGCAAATGATAACATTTCAACAATCTATCACAAGTGTCAGTTTCAAAATCATAATGTTGTAGCATTATAAATGTTTTTAAGGACTTGACCTTGTTCAAATGAGATGACCATAGGTTAGGAAATTGTTCAATGTCATCAAGTGAGAGGTGACGAGTTCTTTCACCAAGTGGACCATTCTCGAATGTTCCGCTATAACATTCTTCTCCCATTACAAATTGGGCTTAATCATGAACAAGATCATGGATCTTGAACCATGTGTCGTAGGCAAATTCATCTGTCTCAACATCCACAAAAAATGACTTTAAATATAATTCATTCCACACTCTGTCACCATCATCTTCCACCTCAAACCCTCCATTCGTTGAAAGGAACCCATTAGCCATCCAAAGTTCTATTACTTGTTTCTTACTCATCCTTCGATCTTTGGGGAACACTGCAAGGTAGGCAAAACACCGTCTTAATTTTGCCGGTAAATTCAAATAACTTAATCTTAGAGCAGGCAGGACAGAATCTTCTTCCTGTGGTAAATTCCAAATCTCACTTTCCTTAATGCGGAGCCACTCTTTTTCATTACTTTGGAAACACAGAAGACTTCCTAAAGTTTTAGCAGCAAGTGGAACTCCGTTGCATTTCCTTACTATATCCCTCCCTATAGTTATAAGCTCTTCACGTTCCTCCTCCTCCGATCCAAAAGCTCGTTGTCTGAACAACTTCCAACAATAATTTTCTGATAGCAGTGATAACTGATGAGGCGACACTGTTCCTGTAATGCGTGCAACGGTTGTAAGACGGGTAGTGGTCAGAATCGAAGCACCCTTCGATCCACAAGCCAAAACGGATTTCAACTTATCCCATTTCTCCCGGTTCTCATTCCACACGTCATCCAGGACAAGCAAATATCTTTTTCTGCCAAGCACCTCTTGGAGCTGTCTTTGTAATGGTTCTAGATCTAAATCTGCACAAGCATGCCCAGTAGCTGCCTCTATTATAGCTTTTGACCGCCTTTTCAAACTGAACTCTTCAGAAACACATACCCAGATTCTTTGCTCGAAATGATTAACTACCCTCTCATCATGGAAGACGTGCTGGACAATAGTAGTTTTCCCGAGACCGCCAATACCAATAATTGGATAGACTGATAGGTCCTCCAAATTAGAAGCATCACGAACCAAAAAGTCCACAATTTTCGCCTTGTCCGCTTCTCTTCCGTAGAATTGGGGTTGAGTAATGATTGAGGTAGTTTGCTGCCATTCCATGATTTCATTCCTCCTCTCATGAACCGTCTCGCGTAAATGAAACCTCAGTCTTTCCTCAGCAATTTGATCAAGTCTTTGACTGATGTCTTTCAATTTCTTGGCAATTTTGTAACGGAACTTGACATGAGTGGGATTGAAAGAGCACAAGCAAGAGGTTTGTACCTTGTCTTGGTATTGCAAGGAAAGGGTATGCGTGGAACACTCATCCAAGATGTCATCCAGCAAGTAAGCCGCATCTCGAAGCTTGCGCAGCCAATCGTTGAGAGATTTGTTGGTGAGTTGCTTCTCCTCAGCATCTTCAAGCACTGCCGTAATTGTAGTGAGTACGCTTGAAAGCCTCTTCATTTCTGCATCGACACCCAGAAAGAAACCGAGCTCATTCTGAATGAGTGAGCTCAGAGTCTCAATCGCAACCTCAATCATAGCCTCCGTCATCGTGTTTGTTTTGTGGAAAGTTGAGTAGTGAGGTTGAAAGCTTGGGAGTGCAGTAAAGAGGGAAGAAGATGAGCAGACAGATTTTTCAAGTCAACAAGGAAGCAAAACCGCGTGATACAACAATGCAATGGTTGATCAAATGTTAAAAGAAAATTACAAATAATAACCCTTCCTAGTTCCTATTTCATAACGTCAAAATCTTTGGCGGTTTACTATTTTAGCCGCAGCTCGCAAACCCCCGGCGTGGGTTTAGGAGGCTTACAAGCTCTTCCACTCTAAATTTGTGGGATCCAAAAGTTTGAATAACTTTTTTAAAAAAAATAAATTTGACATTATCATAATACATATATAAATTCAAAGTATCAAATTATGCTCCAAATTGAATAAAATTGTGTGATTGCAAGAATATATTAATGTTTCCCCTCCTTAATGTGTTAGTTCATTATTAGGAGGAGGTTTGTTTTAATTCTAAAATACTACCTCCAGTCTTAAATATGAAAGTGCATTTGACTTTTATTTTGGTCCTAAATATAAAACTTCTATCCATTTTATTTTTCATACTTATGTACCTTTTTCCAAGGTAGTCCTAATGATAGTTTTAGCCAATACACTTGATTAGTAAGGACATTTTAGGAAAAACAATACATATTTATTAACTAACTTAACTTATTTTTTTGATCTATTTAAATTAGCCAACTAACTCTTATATTTAAAACCGGAAGTAGTATATGAATATAAGACTTTAATCTCTTTTGTCTCACATAATTATTATGTTTTTTCAAACAACCTCCTCCTATAATTAGGTTCATGTATAATGTGTGAGCCACCGCTCTGATTCCTATTATAAATGACGTGTAGGAGAAAAAATTGATTTCAAATATAAATTATCTGGAGAGTTATTAATGATTATTTTTTTTAATTTCATAGAGAAAAGAAGTATAAGAATAATTTATACATTCTTATTGTTACAAGTCTTTATTTTGAAACTTAGGCACGCCACCCCGAAAGTTAATCTTCCTTTCTCCGAATGTCCAACAAAGAAAATTGCAATATTCAAATAAATAATAAATTTATCATTTTGACTAAAAAATACTTGGGGTTGATTTGCAAAGCAATTGTCGAGTTCGAATTAGAAATTGAATATCCCCTGATGAGGATTGTATTGAGTTTATTAGCGGGGAAGCATCGTAAAATAACTTGGTTGATCTTTTATTCTCTTGCCCAAAAAAAATCTTTTATTCTCGTAAATAAAACGTGGAGACTACAGTGGATAAAGCGCAAAACCGGATTTTATATGTTTGATTTTTTTTTATATTGTCTTTTTTTAAATGTTGGAAATTAAAATTTTAAAAAAGACAAGAAAGAAATTCTTTTTTATTATTAAATTATACAAAAGTCCCCTCAACTTGAAATCTTGCACACATAACCCATTCAACTTTTAATAATTAACCTCTCTAGACTTTGAAGTATTGCAGATATCTCACCATCATCCATTATATACCCTCTTAAATTTTATTTCTGCGACTTTAAGTTATATAAAAATATTCTCTCAGATAAAATTTAATGTATAAATTTACCTTTACTTAAATTTTACGGAGATAACAAAACGAAATAATAAAAAAATTAGTTTAACTAGAACGAGGGCTTTTGCTCAAAAAAAAAAAAAACTAGACTGAGGGCGTTCGGTGCAGTTTGGTTCAAAGGCGAAGGGTTGTAAATTAGAAGCTCAGTGGTAGCACAACTGAAAGCCCATTAACAATGGGATCCAACTTAGCTTTGCATCATTCCAGTGGGCTCGCATCAATGGTCAACAAGTCTAATGTTTTTGAGGAAGGATGCAAAACTTTTCGGTTGCAGCAGTATGGGCTTCAAGCTGGGGAAAAAAACTTTGTGTGTATCCGACAAAATCAGCATTTGTAACTAATACAATCAACAGAAAATTAAGGTTAGCAGAAAAGACTAGTTTATTGTAACTTGACAGACCAATATTTGAATTTTGGGTGGGAGAGATATTTATATTTAATACTCAACAGTATATTGAATTGGATTACTTCAATTGGATCAATATATTTGCCTAGAAAAAAAAATTCATTTATAACTAATGCAAGTGAGACAGGAGTGCTACGTACAATAGCAAACAGAAGAGATTTTTAGTATGTGCTCTAAAATCAACATCCAAATTCTTAACCGTTGATACAGTACAACAGAACCGGAGAGACAAAAAAAGACATTAGAAACCCTTCCCACCCGCTGGGTGTCGTGGTGTAGTTGGTTATCACGTCAGTCTAACACTTTGAAGGTCTCCGGTTCGAATCCGGGCGACGCCACTTCTTTCATTTCTGCTCTGATCTTCGGCTCGCTGTGTCCTTTTTGGACCAACTGGGCTTTATGATGTGGCCTGTGATTTCATTGTCGGTGTATATCCGAAATAGTCACTTCAAACTGTTGGCTGAGGGAATTATTACCACATCATCTGAACTAACAACCATAACTATAAAGTTTAAACTCCCATACACCTAATTTTGATGCCTCAATATAATGTTTTCCTGTGGCCTCATCCCCACAATATCCCTTTACTTCACTGTCCCCTACCAAATATGCATCTCTATAATATCAATACCCAAATTAACATTATAATTTTTCATATTTAATTTAATTTTTATTATATTGTCCTTATATTCCATTCTTATTTCATCCCTTTTTTTTTAATCAAGATTTTTAACATAACATCTTATAAATCTTGAACGTTTGAATTTGATTTAAATGGTTTATATTTGATTACAAAATAAGCACGTAGTAGTCTTGCCCTGAGCCTGCTTTGTGTGAGGTTTTTGTCTTGCGTTGAAATTATGAGTCCATGGGGTCTGCTCATTATTGATTATTGTACATTAAATTACTATCAGCTCTTTATCTATGTCCCCTTCGCCTGTGCCTTTACTAGAAAAGATTGAACATGACATTGGAAATATCATTACTATTATACTATAATAATATTATTAAAGTTTTGGATCTACCTTATTTTTATTGAGAAAATTGGATATCATTGAAAAATTTACTGGTCATTATGACCTAAATTAAAGTAACGATACTGTGTGTATATAAAATTTACAAAATATCAGTATTTTTATGTAAAAAAATGGTCAAATCCTCTTTGTGAATGAAAATTTTAATGGGGAGTTTTCCCTAATTTTTCCTAGGTTATAATAAACTTTTAATCATTTAAGTTTATACAAAATTTCATTTTGGTCATATAACTTTAAAAAATAAACTTTTAGTCATTTAATCCTAAAACTGTTAATAAAAAATGATGATATTAAACTCTTGAATGCTAATAAAACATTACTGAATGCTAACATATTAAGTTTAATATTCAAAACAATCATGATTGTTATAAAAAGCTATCATTTAAGATTAACAATTTTAAGATTAAAGGACTTAAAGTATACTTTTTAAAGTTGAAGATTAAACTGAAACCTTACATAAAATTAAAGGACCGAATATATATTTTAACATTTTTTTCCCTATTTTTATGACTGTTTGACTAAATCTTTTGAAAACATTTTTCGCATTCACACAAATCCAAGCATCTTAAATCTTCATGCTTAAATGACCAGATTTCTTGTAGTAGTATCAATGCTTCAGGTAAATTATTTTTTTTTTTAATTACTGAGTAATTGAGTAAATTAAGAACTTCCCTCTTCTTTTTTTTTAAATAATAGAACTTCCATCATTTCCGTAGGAAGAAAAAGTCTACTCCAACTAATTACGTGTTAAAAAAATTAGAACAGCGAATAACACTTTTAGGTGGAGGCTAAGACTCTAGCTCCTTTGAAATGTGAACAAGTCATATAAAAAAAAAAAAAAAACCAAGTCACCATCATCTTCCACTTCAACCCTCCATTCGTTGAAAGGAACCCATTAGCCATCCAAAGTCCTATTACTTGTTTCGTACTCATCCTTCGATCTTTGGGAAACACTGCAAGGTGGCAAAAACACCGTCTTAATTTTGCCGGTAAATTCAAATAACTTAATCTTAAAGCAGGCAGGACAGAATCCTCTTCCTGTGGTAAATTCCAAATCTCACTTTCCTTAATGCGGAGCCACTCTTTTTCATTACTTTGGAAACGCAGAAGACTTCCTAAAGTTTTAGCAGCAAGTGGAACTCCGTTGCATTTCCTTACTATATCCCTCCCTATAGTTATAAGCTCTTCACGTTCCTCCTCCTCCGATCCAAAGCTCGCTGTCTGAACAACTTCCAACAATAATTTTCTGATAGCAGTGATAACTGATGAGGCGACACTGTTCCTGTAATGCGTGCAACTGTTGTAAGACGGGTAGTGATCAGAATCGAAGCACCCTTCGATCCACAAGCCAAAACGGATTTCAACTTATCCCATTTCTCCCGGTTCTCATTCCACACGTCATCCAGGACAAGCAATATCTTTTCTCTGCCAAGCACCTCTGGAGCTGTCTTTGTAATGGTTCTAGATCTAAATCTGCACAAGCATGCCCAGTAGCTGCCTCTATTATAGCTTTTGACAGCCTTTTCAAACTGAAAACTTCAGAAACACATACCCAGATTCTTTGCTCGAAATGACTAACTACCCTCTCATCATGGAAGACGTGCTGGGCAATGGTAGTTTTCCCGAGACCGCCAATACCAATAATTGGATAGACTGATAGGTCCTCCAAATTAGAAGCATCACGAACCAAAAAGTCCACAATTTTCGCCTTGTCCGCTTCTCTTCCGTAGAATTGGGGTTGAGTAATGATTGAGGTAGTTTGCTGCCATTCCATGATTTCATTCCTCCTCTCATGAACCGTCTCGCGTAAATGAAACCTCAGTCTTTCCTCAGCAATTTGATCAAGTCTTTGACTGATGTCTTTCAATTTCTTGGCAATTTTGTAACGGAACTTGACATGAGTGGGATTGAAAGAGCACAAGCAAGAGGTTTGTACCTTGTCTTGGTATTGCAAGGAAAGGGTATGCGTGGAACACTCATCCAAGATGTCATCCAGCAAGTAAGCCGCATCTCGAAGCTTGCGCAGTCAATCGTTGAGAGATTTGTTGGTGAGTTGCTTCTCCTCAGCATCTTCGAGCACAGCCTTGACTGCAGTGAGTACGCTTGAAAGCCGTCTCCCAGAAACAAACCGAGCTCCTTCTGAATGAGTGACCTCAAAGTCTCAAGTGCAACCTCAATCACAGCCTCCGTCATCGTGTGAATGACAGGATCCGATGTAGTGAGGTGTGTTTGTCTTGTGGGAAGTTAAGTAGCTAGGTTGAAAGCCTGGGAATGCAGTAACGAAGGAAGAAGACGGGCAGAGAGACTTTCGAGTCAAAATGGAAGCAAAACCGCGTGGTGCAGTAATGCAATGCGTGATCAAATGTCGTCGAAAGTACATGGAAGCAAGCAAGCAACACCACACGAAAATCAGAGACATTTTCTTGCAACGTGTACGAAAAGAAAAGTACAAAATAATTACCCTTCCTAATTCCCATTTCATAGCGTCAAAATCTTTGGTATTTTAGCCGCAACTGGGAAACCCCTCGTATGGATGTGGGGGGCGTAGGAGGCTTATAAGCTCTTCCACTCTAAATTTGTGGGATCCCAAAAGTATGAATAAATTTTTCTAAAAGAAAAAATGTTGACATTATCATAATACATGAGTAAATTCAAATTTCAAAGCATCAACTTATGCACCAAATTGAATAAAATTGTGTGATTGCAAGAATATATTAATGTTTAAAAGTAATACTTGCTCCCCTCCCAAATGTATAAGTTCATTATTAGGAAGTTTGTTTTAATTCTAAATTATATGAATATAAGGATATAAGACTTCAACATTTTTTTCTCATATAATTTTTTTTTTTTTCAAACTACCTCCTCTAAGTAGATTCGTGTATAATGTGTGAGTACCACTCTGATTCCTATTAAATGACTTGCAGGAGAAAAAATTGATTTCAAATATAAACACTTGAAGGTTGTTAATGATTATTTTTTAATTTCATCCTATTTATTTTTTATTTGAAAGAGAGGAAGAGAAAAGATATGGAGAATAATTTCTACATTCTTATTGTTACAAGTCTTTATTTTGAAACTTAGGCACGCTACCCCGAAAGTTACTCTCCCTTTCTCGGAATGTCCAACAAATAAAATTGCAATATTCGGATAAATGATAAATTTATCATTTTGACTAAAAAGTTTAAAAAAAAAATACTCAGGGTTGATTTGCAAAGTAATTGTCGAGTTTGAATTAGAAATTGAATATTGTCGTAAATAAAACTTGAAGACTACAGTACATAAAATACACAAAACCGGATTTTATATGTTTTATTTTTTTATAGTCTTTTTTTAAAATGTTTAAAATTAAAATTTAAAAAAGGCAAGAAACAAATTCTTTTTTACTTTTAAATTATACAAAACTCCCTTCAACTTAAAATCTTGTACACATAACCCATTCAACTTTTAATAATAAACCTCTCTAGACTTTGAAGTATTGCAGGTATCTCGCCATCATCACTTATAAAAATATTCTCTCAGATAAGATTTAATGTATAAATTTACCTTGTTAAAAAAAAAACATATACATTCTTGCAATTTATCTTAATAATAGTATCTTTTGGTTAAAATCATTTTTTTAATTTAAATTTCTGAACTTGAAATTTTACAGAGATAACAAAACGAAATGAAAAAATTAGACTAATTTTAACTTGAATGAGGGCTTGCGCTATAGTTTGGATGCATTTCAAAGGTGAAGGGTTGAAAATTGGAAGATCAGTTGTAGCATAATTGAAAGCCCATTAACAATGGGATCCAACGCAGCTTTGCATCATTCTAGTGGGCTTGCATCAATGGTCAGCATGTCTAATATTTTCGAGGAAGGATGCAAAGCTTTTGGGTTGCAGCAGCATGGGCTTCAAGTTGGAAAAAATTTTGTGTACACGCACGCTATTAAATCAACATTTGTAACTAATACAGCCACCATGAGTTGAGATTAGCCCCAAAAAAAAAAAACCAATTTCTTATAACATGATGAATCAAGATTCAAATTTTCATTGGGAGAGGTACTCACATTTAGTACTCAACAGGATCTTAAATAGGATTACTTCTAATGATCAATATATTCGCCTAGAAAAAAAAAACATTTATAACTAATGCAGGTGAGACGGGAGTACTACATACAATAGCAAACTAAAGAGATTTTTTGCTCTAAAATCAACATCGAAATTCTTAACCCTTAATACTCTTTTGGTCCTTAATATAAGACCCATTTACTAATTTGATTAGATTAAGGAAGTTAGGTAAATTAGTTAATTATAAGAAAAGTAACACATTTTTCCTAAAACACCATAATCATCTTTCTTAATATCCCTCTCCCTCTTCTACTTGGTTATGGTTGAAGAAGTATTCATAGGGGTAATTTAGAGAAAACTGATAAATATAGAAATGGGTCTTATATTTAGAACCAAAATTAATTCAAAAATTGGGTCCTATATTAAGAACTGGAGGAGTACAACACACAGAAGCAGTATGTCTTGACTTTGAGACTGGTGAAAAGATAATAAAAGGTTGCTTGAATATTCCCATGCCACCAGCGAGGTGTCGTGGTTGTAGTTGGTTATCACGTCAGTCTAACACACTGAAGGTCTCCGGTTCGAGTCCGGGCGACGCCACTTCTTTCGTCACTATTTTGATCTCAGGCTCTCTCTCCTTTTGCACCAAATGGGCTTTATGATGTGGCCTGTGATTTCATTGTCGGTATATTTTCGCAATAGTCACTTCAAATTGTTGGCCGAGGGAATTATTACTACATCATCTGAACTAACAACCATAGCTTTAGACTCCTATTCCCTACACCTAATTTTGATGCCTCCCCATAATGTTTCCCCGTGGCCTCATCCCCACAGTATCCCCTCCTTAACTTCACTGTCCCCCACCAAATACGCATCTCTGTAATATCAATACCCAAATTAACATTATAATTTTCCATATTTAACTTAAGTTTAATATATTGTTCTTATATTCCGTTCTTATTTCACCCCCTTTTTTTATCAGGATTTTAATATAACATGTTATAATAGTGAACGTTTGAATTTGATTTAAACAGTTTTTTTTTTAATTTCAAAATAACCGCAGTACTCTTGCCCTGAGCCTGCTTTGTGTGAGTTTTTGTCTTGCGTTGAAATTATGAGTCCATGGGGTCTGCTCATTATTGATTATTGTACATTAATTACTATCAGCTCTCTATCTATGTCCCCTTCGCCTGTGCCTTTACTAGAAAAGATTGAACATGACATTGGAAATATCATTACTATTATACTATAATAATATTATTAAAGTTTTGGATCTACCTTATTTTTATTGAGAAAATTGGATATCATTGAAAAATTTATTGTCATTATGACCTAAATTAAAGTAACGATACTGTGTGTATATAAAATTTACAAAATATCAGTATTTTTATGTAAAAAAAATTGTCAAATCCTCTTTGTGAATGAAAATTTTAATGGGAGTTTTTCCTAATTTTTCCTAGGTTATAGTAAACTTTTAATCTTTTAAGTTTACATAAAATTTCATTTTGGTCAATAACTTTAAAAATAAACTTTTAGTCATTTAACCCTAATAAAAAATGATGATATTAACCTCCTGAATGCTGATAAACATTATTAATGCTAACATATTAAGTTTAATATTCAAACAATCATGATTGTTATAAAAAAAAATATCATTTAAGATTAATAATTTTAGAATTAAAGGACTAAAAGTATACTTTTTAAATTGAATGACCAACCCCGAAACCTTACATAAAATTAAAAGACTGAATATATATTTTAACTTTTTTCTTCTCTATTTATGACTGTTTGACTAAATCTTTTGAAAACATTTTTCGCATTCACACAAATCCAAACATCTTAAATCTTCATGCTTAAATGACCAGATTTCTTGTAGTAGTGTCAATGCTTCAGGTAAATTATTTTTTTTAATTACTGAGTAAATTAAGAACTTCCCTCTTCTTCTTTTTTATAATAGAACTTCCATCATTTCCATAGGAAGAAAAAGTCCCACTCAACTAACAACGTGTTAAAAAAATTAGAACAACGAGTAACACTTTTAGGTGGAGGCCAAGACTCTAGCTCCTTGGAAATGCGAACAAGTCATATAAAAGAAAAAATTAAAACAACGACAGTCCACAGCCTTGTTGTCATAATGAATTTAAATCATAGTGCGCAAAAACTCTGAATCATGCCAGAGAAAATCATAATTTGGTTTTGACATTTAATTAAGAACCCAGTAGTCTCCACACTTATTAGCATTAGATTTATATTTTAAGACACAGAATTAAACCTTACTCCACCTAAAATTCAAAGCACATTGTCAATATTAATTACCTTGGGAATGAGCTGCATAAGACATGTCTCACCAACCTTGGTTACAGAGAAAGAAAAATGGAGGAGGAAGAGAGGAATGGGAAGCATGTGCGCACTTTTTTTTTTTTTAAGTCTCAACTTAGAGAAATAGGATGCTAAACCAAAATTTTAAAAAATAGAACTGGAAAAATACATCAATAATCAATATACAATAAAAAAATCCATAGCAAATTCAAAACGGAGTTTGTGTAATTTTTTTATCGAAATAAATAATAACTGGAAAAAATAATTACACGACTTAAAAAATTTTAAATTTACAGAAAAAATATAAACGATAAAGAAATTAAAAGGTTTCTTTAAAATAATTAAAGCAGCAGAAAGAAAAAAAAATGTAGTACAGAATGGCTGCTAGTTGATCATGTGCGTTGGAACGGAGTGGTGGCCATACATTTGAAATCCCTAGTCAAGTCACACTAATTAGTATGTTTTTCTATTTCATATGAATATTTTCATTTATCACCTTAAAAAAAATTTTTATCACATCATCCTGATGCAACTATACCCGAGGAAG